TTTAAGTCTGGGCTGACTTTCCTGGTCCCCATCTGCTGGTGGCATGACCGGGCTGGAATGGTCTGGGATGGCCTTGCTCACATGTGTGGTGATGGGCAGACTGGCTAATGAGAGCCTCAGCAGGGACTGCTTGCTTTGGCTCCGTGTGGTCTCCCATCCTTCGCCAGCTAGCTTGGGTGTCTTCCCATGGTGGTCTCAGTGTTCCAGAAGCAGCAGAGGAGGACAGGCCCCAATGCATAAGTATTTTTCAAGCCTCTGCTCAGCTACTGTTGTCCCCATAAGACAAGGTCAATACCTTGTCCAAACTTAGAGTCCATGTGGGAGGAAACTACACAGGCTCTGGATACAGAAAGACTACAGATCCGCCATGCTATAAGCCTGAGGTCTAACTCAGTAAGTAGTAGTTGTTTCCACCCCCACAGAAGACGACCCTGAACAGTCTTGTGGTTCATCCTTGTGTAAAAAGGCAGTGTCAGCTAAAACCATAGGCAGAGAACGTGGTCGTTGTTCTGGTGGCCTCACCTGCCAGTAAGTATGGTGGAAAATGCCCCAAGAGGCCGGAGGCAGGAAGCAGTTGAAGAGCCAGACGAGAAGAAAGATCCTCACCTCCCAAACCCAAACACAGAGCAACCAAGTGGCAGGTCTGCTCTCTGACATACTGAAGCAAAAGACACCGCTGGGCTTAGAAGTCAGAGGTGGGTGACTTCCCAGAGGCAGCAAGATTGTTTCCCATGCCCTGAGGGAGACAGAGGCTGAAGACAGCACTTGAGCTGGAGAGGGAGAGGTGAGCAATAACATGTGAATCTTCAGTATTTGCCTACCTGGAGAAACCTACAAACAGGTGAAGAAACTCTTCCTGTCTCCCAGGAGGAGGGAAGAATTGGCAAAGAGAACTGAGAGAAGATGAGGAGGGAATAATGCTAGTAACAACCTTTGTCTTTTGAATGTCTGTCATGTGCTGGGGATGGTATGTAGACTTTTAGTCCTCACAGCATCCTGCGGTGACTAGCTCCAATTTACAGATGAGGAAACTGAGTCTCAGAGAGGTTAAGGAACTGGACCTATGTCACTGAGCTCAATGTTCTGGCCCAGGCCTGTCTGCTTCCATAGGGCTGCTTCTGTCTTTTCCCCACCGTGCTGCTGATGTGGTCCGCAAGAAAGCATCTTCAGGTAGCAAGGACTGCAGAGCCCTCCTAACAGGAGAGTTCTCAAGGACCCAAAAAGCCATCTCCCAGGCAGGAACACTGGAAAATGTTCATGATAAAAAGATGGCAGCCTCAGATGGTGGCAGGGTGACAGAAAGGTGAGGAAGGCATAAAGAAAAAACCCATCACTTTTTTTCATCTGGAGTACAGAGATACCCCAAAGGAGGGTCACATGGGTGGCTCAGTTGGTTAAGCATCTGCTTTCAGCTGAGGGCATGATCCCAGGGTCCTGGGATCGAGCCCTGTGCCAGGCTCTTTGCTCAGCAGGGAGCCTACTTCTCCCTCTCCTTCTGCCACTCTTCCTGCTTGTGCTTACTCTCTCTGTCAAATAAAATTTTTAAGAAAGAGAGATACCCCAAAGGAGACATAGCCACTGAACCCCCTCCCCATTCTGTGACCCAGTCTCTACCCACACACTCCACTCAGTAAGGAGGTCATTGATAAAGTAGAATAAATTCAATCAAGAATGACCTAGGTAGGGGCGCCTGGGTGGCTCAGTGGTTTAAGCCTCTGCCTTCGGCTCAGGTCATGATCCCGGGGTCCTGGGATCGAGCTCCGCATCGGGCTTTCTCAGCAGGGAGCCTGCTTCTCTTCCTCTCTCTCTGCCTTCCTCTCTGCCTACTTGTGATCTCTCTCTGTCAAATAAATAAAAATCTTAAAAAAAAAAAAAAAAAAAAGAATGACCTAGGTAATGAGAGGCTTCTGAAACCCAAAGGCTATCTAGCGAGGAGCTGTCAGCCGTCTTCTAGTACCTAAGAAACTGGCACATGCCAAGAGCTAACTTGTTCTTTGTTGATCCACAGCTTGGAGCTAGAGTCAGCATGCAGACCTGTCGGGGAGACACCACCACAACATGGAAAAACCAACTGTAGAGGCACAGAGATCCTGTTTTGTATCTTGTCACCATGACTTCATAACCTGTGCTCTTGAGTTTTGGTTTTCTGCCTGCATATTAGAGATGCACATGTCTGCCCTGCAGAGCGTGAAAGAGGTTGTGTCAAGGACCCCGCATGGGGGCTGGTTTACACTGCACTCTGTGAATGGAAACCTTGGGAATGATGGTTTTGAGCAGTTAGAAGTTCCTGTTCCCTGGAGAAGCAGAGCAAAAGTAGAAAGCTGCCAAGGGCGGGGGGGGGGCGCCTGGGTGGCTCAGTGGGTTAAGCCTCTGCCTTCTGCTCAGGTCATGATCTCAGGATCCTGGGATCGAGCCCCACATCAGGCTCTCTGCTCAGCGGGATGCCTGCTTCCCCACACTCTCTCTGCCTGCCTCTCTGCCTACTTGTGATCTCTGTCTGTCAAATAAATAAATAAAATCTTTAAAAAAAGAAAAAAAAGAAAGCTGCCAAGGGGAGGTGCGGGGGTAGCTGAGCATTGTTACTCTGCCCAAGTTGGGTATGTTTTGAAAGCACTGTGGCCAGTGTTCACAAGTGAATATTGTTGCCTTCCATGCTCATCCCCTGGGGAGCTGAGCCAGGCAGTAGAGGCTGTCTAGGGTGGAGGACAGAAACTGTGACTCCGGGAGGCTGGGTGGCTTGGTTGGTTAAGCATCTGCCTTCAGCTCAGTTCATGATCCCAGGGTCCTGGGATGGAGCCCCTTGTCAGGCTCCCTGCTCAGTGGGTCCTGCTTCTGCTTCTCCTCCAAGGTCCTGTTCTTTCTCTCTCTCTCTCAAATAAATGAGTAAAATCTGAAAGAAAAAAAGAAGGAAAAGAAAAGAAAGCAACTGTGACCTGGATTTTACTTAGGTTGTTTGGTCCCTAGGGGGAGGTTTACTGTTGAGCCATCAGATGAGCATTACCAAGGACACCCCCAAGGTCAAGGTGGCCCAGAGCCACCCAGGTTTAGCATTTTGTATCTGGGATCGGGTTTATCAGCATCAAGGTTCACCTTCACTGTCAGCACAGAAGGGTTGACCTACAGTGCCACTGTCTGGTGGACCCATGTTCTGTCTCAAACTGTGACCTCAGCCTCCTTGGGTGCTCAGTGTAGAAGCCATTGTCCCTCTTCAAGCACAGAGTCTGCTGATCTGCTTTCAGATATGTGTGTGTGTCTTTTCAAACACTTCCAACTGGAGCTTATGAGGAATTGGAATTTTGGAAACAAAACATTTGTTTGGGATCCCAAATACATGAAGTCCTGGGTGGGAGGGTGGTATGCTGTCTTGGCCAGGATGCTAGAGAGCTTGCCAGGCTAGCAAGTGCCCTTCCCAGGGCAAGGAGGGTGTCCACAGGAACAGTCACAGGCCATCTTGGGACACTAGGCACTGGTCCCTGCTTAGGGGTGGTGACTGAAGGGACAGAAGCAGTGAGTATTTGAAGGTGTGAATTTGGGATCTGTTTGTCGACAGAGACACTGGTGGCCAGTGTACAGGTGCCATTGTGAGGTACAAATACACTTTTGTTAGTCTTTCAGCAAATGTTCTCTATTTGTAGACAGTCTGACAAATCCCTTTAAAGGAATGCTTCTCAAACTCCCTTTCAGGGTCCTTCTGGGGTTAAGGACTGGGAAACAAGGGACTCTAGGCTCCGGGTCCTGCTTCATTCCGTATAGATAGGTTTAAAAAAAAAAAAAAAAGATGATATAAGATAGAATTCTCATACCATCCAGTTCACCCAAAGTGCACAATTCAAAATCTCTTAAAGATTTATTTATTTACCTACTTATTTGAGAGTGCATGTGCATACACAGGGTGGGAAGGGGCAGAGGGAAAGGAGAGAATCCCAAGCGGACTCCACGCTGAGCTCAGAGCCTGCAGTGGGACTCGATCTCACGACACTGAGATCAAGACCTGAGGTGAAATCAAGGGCCAGGCACTTACCCCACGGAGCCACCCAGGTGCCTCTGGTATACAGCCTCTGGTATATGTATTCACAAAGTTGGGCAGCTCTAACCCTCACCATGTGAGCAAATGAGCTTTTGTCTGATTGTCTGTTGGGGCTCTGAAGGTGATTGTATTTGAAGGAGGAAAAGATGCCACTACTAAAATCAGGTCTGAAATTATTGTTGTCCTCATACTGTCACAGGTTGGACCTTTTCTGAGGAGAGAGTGGTCTTCAAGTTCTAGTTCAAGCCCCAGAGAGAACCAGGAGAGAAACTTGGCTGATAGGTTACACCGTCGAGCAGCCATTCAGTTTTCTCCCAGAAGGGCCTCATTCAGCATTTCTGAAATCCTTCTGCGCAGCTCTAACATGGTGAAAGGAAATGAGAATGGTGAGAGGAAGACCAGTGGACACAGCAGAAATAGGGTCACCAGTCCAGATGGGAGAAGGTCTTCAGTTAGCAGATGGGGCCACTGAGTGTAGAGACAGATCCCCTGGCATACTCCAGCCATCCCTAAAGGCATGACTGTGGGACACGTGGCAGGGATTGGCATTCAGGTGAATGATGAACATTTTTAAAAGACCAGAATTGTATCCGCAAAATATTCACCAGAGAACGCTGAAGGTGAGGAAGTTGCTTGTCAGAATGGGCTGAGCACGAGCTGGTCTGGAAAGACTTCATTGTCTAGCACTGGATGAAGCTCCTTACATTTTTCTTTGGAAAGGTCCTGCTGGGAAGTGTCTCTTTCTGTGTGGATGTCAGATAAACGAAGCATTCTGGAACCGGTCCCTTCTTCTTAAGTTGAAGGGAACATTCTCATTTGGGCTTGTCTGGGGGCAATGCCATAACCCACGATTGTTCTGCGACCAGGATTCACGCTCCCCTGCTGGAAGACCGGGCTAATTGGATTCTTTTCAGTTGACAAACTCAGTTTTCCACCTCGGAACACATGTTTATTGCCTCTGTTTTGTTCACAGGATGTGTTCCTGTTCGGAGGTGAAACCATGAAGAGAAAATAGAGCAAATAATAATGCTTTTCCGCAGTCGCTTCTTGCTGCTGCTGGCCCTGGCTGCCGTGCTGGCCTTCGTGAGCCTCAGCCTGCAGTTCTGTGAGTGTCGCCTGGCGCCGCTGGGACAGGGGGTTGGGGGGGGGGGGAGCCTTCCTCCTGAGAGAGAGGGCCCTTGTGGGGAGGAAACAAGCAGGCCCCAAAGCCTTTGTTTTTCAAATGAACAAGGCAGTTTTAAAACAACTGAGTGTTTTTATTATTGGTACTGAGAGTAGACGGTTGTGCGTACAGATCCTAAAACCGCTGAGCTTTGTGCTGAGTGTCTTTTTCGGCCATAAGGAACAAGAGTGCTCACCAGGCCTCCTGAAACGTTTCTGGCTTCCGCAGAGATTCCTGACTGGCCTGGTTATTCCCAGATTCTTGGATTCCCCTGGGGGAGACACCGAGTGGCCCAGCAGGGGCTGGGGTGTTCAGCCTGCTGGTTCGTTCTTTGAGGGTTGGTGTCTGTTTTCTGTTCAGTGAGCTATGGGGCTGCAGTCGTTGGGAGGGTAGGGGGACTAGGTACCAAACTCTGTTTCCTGGGCAGTGAGGACCATGCACAGGGTTTCTTGTCTGGTGAGGCAAGGGCAGGCCGATGAAGCCAGTCCACAGATCTCACCGCCCAGCACTTTGTCCTCCACTTGGCGCCTGTGTTCAGGTTCGGTCCCCGAGCTGCATGCCCCACTGCTCCCCCAAGAGTGGCCATTCTCAAACACAGATCTGGCCCTGGCAGCTCCTTGGTTGTGACCTTACAGGGGTGGCCCATGGTGTCCGGGGGAGGCTCTCTGTCCTCCAGTGGTCCCTGTCTCACTCTAAATTGCTTGGTGTTCTCTATACATTTACCCTCTTCTCTGTGCCCAGATCCCACCGGCCCCTCTGCCTAGAGCGCCATCCTCCTCATGTCCCTCCCATCCTTTCCTCCACGTGCATCACTCAGTCTTCTCCTCCTCTAGGAGCCTTCCAGAACTCCCCCCACCTACCCTTCAGCCAGATCTGATGCTTCTTTGTTGTACTTCCAGAATGCCCTAAACCCATTCCCCTCCTCACACTAACCATGTAGTATTCTAATGTTCAGTTCTCATGTCTCTTCCTCCCATCACACTGTTCTCCGAGACCAGGGACCATGTTCTGTTTCCCTCCCTGTCCTGGGAACTGCACTGCCTACCACACAGTAGGGGTTTCATGACTGTTTATTAAATGAATGAATGAATCTCCACCTGTTGTGAAAAGCAGGCTGACCCAAAATTCCCTCTCCTTCTGGTGCTGTATACCCGAAGTCGAGAGTATCTGTATGACACTGGGAACTTTGGCTTTGCTGTCACCGGCCTTCCCTCCATTTTACCACCACACCCTGATGGATGGGAAGTACGCGGTTGGCACCCGTCACTGCATAGAACAGCTCTGTGAGGACGTGACACTTCTGTCACAGTTTGAGTGATGGAAAGAAGAGCAGGTGGCTCAGCAAGAGGGAGGTTCTGTGAGCGCTGAGGAATGTGGGAAAGACTTGGCTTCTGGAATAAGTGGTTTGAAGAGAGGAGGCTTTGAGCATATTTCCCCTGGTACACCTCCAGTTTGTGACATACTCCGTGCACACGTCTGGTACCCATGAAAGGCTGTTTCTAATACGAAAGACAATTAAAAATACTCATTTTATCCCTCCAGAATAGGAAACTAGGTCAAGAGTAGGTGGGCATAGGAAATTTAAAGATACTCCAGATGGTTAATGAACCATAAAATACGAATCCTTTCCAAAAAGTGTGTTAGGACTTTCGGTAGTTTAATAGTTTAAAATAATTAATAATTTTTCATTAAAAATTTTCCATCCTTTGACTGGGGAGGTCGGAGGTTACAGTCAACCTTGGTTTTTTCTTCTGTGAAGCTGACAGGATCTGAGACGTGAATGTGGGTTACTTGTGTTTGCTGCGTTTCTCTTGCATGAGGTGGTTTCCACGTCACTGAATTGGCCAGTGTGTTTTGCTTATATAACTCCTCTGAAAGTACCTTCTGTTTTAGGAGAGCCAATTTTCAGCCATACTTTTTTTTAAGGAAAATTTTGCAGGGTAAATTAGCCTGCCTGGGTTGGAGCTCTTTATTCTTGGATACGTTGGAGTTCGGAAAGCTATTAAGATATGGATGTCCTTACTGCTCTTCTACTTCTAGGTAAACTGTAACTTTGGAACTTACCCATTTCTGTAGATGTGGAGTTTAATTGCTTTATTTATTTAATTGCATTGTGGCTTGCTAGTTATTACAGTGTAAGGCATTGCACTAATTGGTAATACAAAAGTATACATTTAACTAACATTTGTGTTTTCATTCTTACCCTAAAATATATGGGCTTTTTTTTCATCATTTCTTTTGACTAATTTTTGAATAAATACCAGATTAGCACATGTAATTACTTTAGGTAATATATGTGAGGCGATCCAATATAACTTGGTTTTTCTCAGGCTTTAAGTAAACCAGTATAGTTCTATTTGCTTTCTGCAACGATCATGTATTTTATTTTGTCTTGTTGGCTTTTTATGATGTTTTGAATATGAGAAAGTTATGACCCGGCTTATAATTTAAAAACCAGGTTGTAATTTAAGGAAGCATTTCTCCTTGGTACAGAAAGTGGGTCTGTGAACCCATATATATTCATTAAGTGCATATGTGTGTCGGGCATTTTTCTAGTGTCAGGGTGGAGGTGGAGGGAAAGGATGTAAAAAAGGTTAAGATACAGTTCATAGTTTCTCAAAATATGTTTATTTTAAGTGGTACTAATGACTTGCTCTAGGCTAACAGCCTTTAATGAAAATCATTCATTTTGTATTTTTAAGTCCTGGATATTTTTGAGTTTGGAAATAGGGAAACGCTGAAATTCCTGGTGTTCAAATTGTAGAAGGGAACAAGTAAGACATGGCTATCTTTAGTTATTCTAGTTAAAATGTGTATGTGTGTAAAAATTACTTCTCAGATTAAGGGACTGCTTTAGGGCAACAGGACAAAGACCAACAGTATGTCAAGACTGGATTAGTTGTTGTGCAGCTTTTTCTGTTTTTTTGTAATTGCCCATGCAACTACCTTCAACCCAGCCTTTCCTTAATGCGTATTTTGTGCTCCTTTCACCATGTTCCAACCAGCATTCCCAAAATGGCGGCGCTCAGGAGCGCACAGGCCCTGGAATGACAGCCTTGGGTGTGAATGCTGCTCTGCCACTTGCCAGCTGTGTACCCTGGGGCAAGTCAGACCTCTGTGTTTCTTCTTCTAGAAAGTGGAACGAGCTGTGGCTGCTCCAGCGTTGGTGTGAGAACAGGAACCTTGTGGGAAAGCCCTTGGCTTGTGGAAATATAGTCCGTGTAAACCTAGTAAGCAACAGCACAGATGCCCTCACCGGCTACCGTCCTAAGAAACGAGGGCTCTTGGGGTCCCAAAGGCTGCCGAGGCTTGTGTTCCTTCAGCCACTTGTCAGGGAGGAGGTTTCTGAAATATATCATACTTTTATTTGTTTCTGATCAGAGTTCATTGGCCATGAAAGTGGTCAGTCTATACTGTGCACGTGGCTCTGTATCTGGGGGTGATATTCCTGGGCAGGGCCCCAGTTGACCAGAGCAGCTTCTAAGGAAAGTACCAAAGATGGACGGGGGTTCAGATCCCCAGGCGGAAGAGGGAAGGTTACCCTCCAGCAGTGAAAACCAGGGTTGTCTTCAGGATCTGAAGAGCCCTTTCTGCAGGGGTCAGACTTGTTCTCTGTGGCCCAGGTGACTGTGGGGACACAGTCCAGTGAAGCATAAGGTGGAGCGTCCTAAAAGTCAGTGTTGTGCAGAGGTGGAAAGCGTGGCATGCAAACTCGGGAGCGTTGCTCTGTGAAGGGCAGAATTTTAGGCAGGTCATTGGGCCTGATTCCATTTAAAGTATCTTCAAAGTCTGAGGTTTTAGGAATTTTATCTTTTCTTGTTAACCCAGTGCCATGAGTATGTACAGCTTTGTCCTTCAGTAAATGTTTCCCGAGTTTCCACCATAGGTTAGGTCCTGGGCTGGGAGTTCAACCCCTCAAAGACTACAGGAGCTGTCTGTCTTACTGGAGGAAAATCATGAGCGACCCTTCGAATACAGTGTGTGATGTGCTAGGACAGGTAAGAGAGGATAGCATGTAAGGTGGGGGTGGGGGGGGTGGAGAACATGGCTCTAAGGAAAACCTAGACTGCTTGGATTGAATCCTTGTCCTGCCACTTAGCAGCTAGGTGACCTCACCCATGTTATTTACCCTCTCCCTGCCTCAGTTTACTCATCTGTAGAATGGGGATAACGATAGTCCCTATTTCACAGGGTTAGTAAAGGATTTGGTGAGCTCTTATTTCAAGACACCCAGAACAATGTCTGGCATGTAGTGATCTCTGTAGGAGTGTTAGTTAACTAAAATGATTTAGGGATCCTTTACAGCAGGGTGATATGGGAGGAAAGAGGACAAGAAGCCAATCTAGTCTGAGAATTCACGGAAGACTCCCCAGCAGAGGTAACATCTGAGCTTCGTCCTTGAGGGGTGAGTAGGAGTTGGCCGTGAAGGAAAGTGGGAGGGGCATTCCTGCAGAATGACATGGGTGTGCAGAGACAGAGTGAAAGAGAGTAGGACCCTGGTAGTCACCTGCCTGTAGCTATTAAGGTGGACAAATGCTGGGGCCACCTCCATCTCTACATTATATCCTGAAGGCTATGGGGAGCCACTGGAAGCAGGGAACACACCAGAAGACGGATGGCTTGGAAGGACCATAGACCAGGACAAAGTCTGCCATGTGTGGTCTCCTGAGCACCTTGAGGAGAGTGGCTCTGGAAACTTGTAAAGAATGCCTGCTCCACAACTAAAAAAGAGCTCATTTTGTGCCCCTCCCTATAGAACCAGAATCTTGGCAGGCGTGGGGACCCAGAAATCTGCACTTTTGACATACTCCCTGGGCGAGTCTGATAAGCACAAATCCTGGGCACTCCCTGTTCAGAGGCTGATGGCAGGGTGAAGCTGGGTGGCAACTCAGGCAGGTTTCCCTCCATAAAAGGCTGAGGGGGCACCTTGAAGGTATTGGCCC